ATTTTTTTAGTTAACTACAATAACCCTGGATCATATGGATGAATTTTACTCACTTTAAAAAAATGTATAATAATGATAAATTATTATTTCTTAACTGAATAAATGAATGAATTATGTGTGTGTGTGTTTCTGTGAACATAGACTCACCAGAGAGGGCTTAATACCAATGCTTTCGGCTGCTTGGAAAGCCAGGGTGAGGTTTCGCCCCTATAGGGAGAAAACAGCACTCGCTGAATATTATTTACAATAGTGAAAAGCAGGTGTCTAAACCCAGCTGAATTCTCTAGCGATGCTCTAGAGAGTGATGAAGCTTCCACACAACGAGGCCTTTCAGTAGCCCAAAGAGGCTTTGTGAATAATTCAAAAGCATAATGTACCATCTCTTCCTGTAATCACTATTATACTTATGGCTACAATTTGTCACACTAAAGACTGCGGCGCTTTGCCTGTTCGTGGGTGTGTGTATGATTGAATAAACACACAGGGAGGGCAGAGCAGCCGTTTATTTGTTATGTATGTTGTTTCTACACCTTTCCGTGTGCCGTCTGTTTATGTATTCTGTCAACACTAATCCATGAAAGCATGTAATTCATTACATCTGGCAGGTCCGAAGAAAGGAAACCTTGACTGTTTAAAATGCTATGCTTGATTGCTAAATGTGTCCGGCACTAAAGTGCGATGATCTACTAAGACACTTCACTAACCAGTGTTACAAATATATGTGTGTTTGTGAGTACCTTGTCTTGGCTGATGAGCTCTTGGTAAGGGATGTGTGCAGGCAGATAGGTGTGTAACAGAGCACAGAACGCCAGGCCATCACTCCAGCTGCTGCTGAAGTTTGTCACATCTATATTCTACAAGGAGAAAGAGAAAAGTTTAAAAACACCATGTAACCGAAATAGAAGTTTTTAGCCCTTAAGTGTATGTCTGTTTGCTTTGAGGCCATCTGTATGCACTATTCTTTTTTTTTTCGTAAAAGATGCATGCTAGAGTTGCACAATCAACCAGCTGCCGATTGTTTTCAGAGGATATTCATTCCAAACCTGTAACCGGAGACTGACCAATTATGCTTAAATTAATGCTACACGCAATAAAGGCACTGGTAATAACTGACAGAATAGTCTGTATGCCCATATTGGCCACTGGAATTAATGGTTGGCTTCAGAACATAATGTTATATAGTATATAATATATAAAATTTGGGAGCAGCAAGTTTTCTTCCCCCGTTTTTTTTTTGTTACATCAAAAACACAGCAAAAGCAGTAATATTGTGAAATATGATTACAATTTAAAATATTGGTCTTTTATTTCAGTATATATTAAAATGTAATTTATTCCTGTGATTACAAAGCTGAATTTTCAGCATCATTACTCCAGTCTTTAGTGTCACATGATCCTTCAGAAATCATTCTAATATGCTGCTTTGGTGCTCAAGAATGTCATTATCAATGCATGTAATTCATTACATCTGGCAGGTCCGAAGAAAGGAAACCTTGACTGTTTAAAATGCTATGCTTGATTGCTAAATGTGTCCGGCACTAAAGTGCGATGATCTACTAAGACACTTCACTAACCAGTGTTACAAATATATGTGTGTTTGTGAGTACCTTGTCTTGGCTGATGAGCTCTTGGTAAGGGATGTGTGCAGGCAGATAGGTGTGTAACAGAGCACAGAACGCCAGGCCATCACTCCAGCTGCTGCTGAAGTTTGTCACATCTATATTCTACAAGGAGAAAGAGAAAAGTTTAAAAACACCATGTAACCGAAATAGAAGTTTTTAGCCCTTAAGTGTATGTCTGTTTGCTTTGAGGCCATCTGTATGCACTATTCTTTTTTTTCGTAAAAGATGCATGCTAGAGTGGCACAATCAACCAGCTGCCGATTGTTTTCAGAGGATATTCATTCCAAACCTGTAACCGGAGACTGACCAATTATGCTTAAATTAATGCTACACGCAATAAAGGCACTGGTAATAACTGACAGAATAGTCTGTATGCCCATATTGGCCACTGGAATTAATGGTTGGCTTCAGAACATAATGTTATATATAGTATATAATATATAAAATTTGCGAGCAGCAAGTTTTTTTCCCCCGTTTTTTTTTTGTTACATCAAAAACACAGCAAAAGCAGTAATATTGTGAAATATGATTACAATTTAAAATATTGGTCTTTTATTTCAGTATATATTAAAATGTAATTTATTCCTGTGATTACAAAGCTGAATTTTCAGCATCATTACTCCAGTCTTTAGTGTCACATGATCCTTCAGAAATCATTCTAATATGCTGCTTTGGTGCTCAAGAATGTCATTATCAATGTTGAAAAGAGCTATGCTGCATAATATTTTTTGTGGAAACCATGAGTGTTTTTTCCCCCTCAGGATTCTTTTATGAATGAAAAAAACAGCTCATTGATTCAGGTGAATGTTCACTGGAGCAGTTTTAAAGCTAGTATTGAATAAAGTACTATATATTTTTATCTTGGTTTTGAAAGTGTTTCTAGTCAGTGAGATGCTGAACCCTCATGAAGTTTATTAGTGTGTCATAATGATCTTTGACAGGAATTATTCATGTCTGTTTTCAATTAAATGTTTATATTATAGAGAGAAATCTGCAAAAATGCAGAATTTGGAACAGAAATGGAACACCTGTCTTTCATAAAGTTCTACACATGCCCTGCTTAGTATGTATTTGTTATTAAATATTTTAATTAAAGGTTAATTCATCCCAAACTGAAAATTCAGTCATCTTTTATTCACCCTCATAACATTCTAAACCTTTTTTTCATATTCAAACACAAATGAATATTTGTTTTATATATTTTCTCATATATTTTTTGTATCCAATGACAGTCCAGTGCAACCAAAATTTGGCTTTATAAGGTGAACATATTTAATTTAGGATTTTATTTCAATATAAACATTGATAAATGCAAATACATAGAGATCGATCACCAGATATGGTAAGCAAAAGCTCAAACATGCTTTCTTGAAGTGTGAGAACCAATGAGTTTTGTTCTTGCATGTCACACAAACATTTCTGAGCTTCTGAAATAAAAATGTGGTTGTGAGGACTTTCAATGGATGGACAAAAATGATGAGAGAATATTAAATATATTGTAAGATGAATGGTCGTTTTATAGGTTTAGAATGACATGAGGGATAAATGTTATTTCGGGGTGAACTAGTCCTTAATTTAGTGTAGTACTGTCACGTTTTACCATGTTTAAATTCAGTCCACCAAATTTACAAAACAGTGCAGAAAATGTGAGAAAAGACTGCAGATATATTTTAAGTGAAATAGCGTGTGACAGAAAACAAAGGACACAGACGCAAAAGAACTGTTGTTACATCAATTAAAATATTGGAATGGACCTCACACACTCTAGACTGTTATCTCATTGTGTTTCACTGGACTTCCTGCTACTTCCTGTATATCCCAGTGCAGTCATTCTTCTTTGTATGAGTGCATGTAGTTTGGGAACAGGGCAAAGGGCCAGTGGGCAACCCTCTTGGGTTCAGCCCTCATCAGCCCCTACTAGGCCCTCAGAGTCCCAATACTTCACAAACATCTTTTGATTTAGAATCAGATGTTAGATTTGAAAGGAGACCCAGATAGAAGCTCCATCCTCAGCTGGGCCATTGGGGCTGAGATGAAGAGAAGAAGAGAAGTTCATTAGCCGTCTCTCGAGCAGGTCAGAAGTTCTTCAGTAAGGATGTCACCCACAGAGGGACAGTGAGGAAGGAACCATGTGAAGAATCCCACCATCTGTGCTACACTCTGACTGAGTGGACATGTCTTGACATTTATAATCTGGTGTGTTCGAGGCATCCATCCTAAAATGTCTTGTTTTATGTGAAATATAGAGATTAAAGAAAAATGAAAAAATACATCAGACAGAAAATAATATGGAGTACCATTGAACCTACTAAATCAAATTTTAAAGGAATAGTTCTCACAAAAAAAAAGTGCAACATGAACGCCTTTTTCCTTTTGTGAAACATAAATGAAGACATTTTAAATAATGTCCAAAAAAAGACAGTGACTATTGGCTGTTGAGCTCAAAAAAATTACAAAAAGCACAATAAAAATGACCTGTGTGCTATATTTAAATAAAGCCATCGAATAGATTTTTGTGATAAGTTATTCACTGCAGATCTTCCATTCTGTGATAGTTACCACATTTCATTTGCACTTGTGTGTCAATTCAAAACACTGAAAAGTGCATTAGCCATGAGATATGCGGGAGCCAATGATGTTTGGCATCACTGACCTGTTGAACCTTGTGCTGTGTCATGTTTCAAAGTGTACAAGCTCAAATGATATTTGAGAGCAGTGGAGGGAAAAATTATCAGCAAATAATGATGGTCTGTTTCTCACAAAGTTATCGTATGGCATCAGAGACACTATGTAGCAACATATGGATGGCGTTTATGGTGCTTTTACATCCTTTTTGGATCCTGATAGCCTTTGTTGTACTGTATTACAAAGAAAAAAATCTCCTTTTGTGTTCTATAGACGAAAGTATGGAATCACATGATGGTAAATAGATGATGACAGAATTTACATTTCTAAGATGAACTATCCCTTGTGAAAAAAAGTGCTCTTAATTGTATTGAGTGTGCACTTCAAATCTTAAAAGTATATTTTACTTGCACATCCTATATACTATTAATGAAATAAAAGGCCATTAAAGAGAATACACTTTCATGACTGTTTAACTCACTTAAATGCACTTTTAAAAGTGCACATAGTAAAAATGCCAAATTGTAAATCATTATTTTATTAATCTTTTGTCATTCTTTAAATAAATATGCTGACTAACATAAAGCCCAGAAACTTTCCCCAGGAACTAGGGACTTTGGGCCGGTACTCGGTGTGTTTCCACCGCGGGGAACCAGGATCTAAATAAAGTTCCGGGTAAATATTTGCCCCTCAGAATGTCCCTGCTCATGAGGTAGTACTTTTTCAAAATGTCCGGGACTTTCGGGGGTGGGACTTGGGCACTAAACATGCTGATTGGTTGAGTTCACATAGCACTGTATTAAAACCACCATTTATTCGCATAATTTTGTGAATATTGATGTTATTGTGTAATAAAATGTAGTTTTAAGAGTTGTTTTAAAATCAAATCTGATGTATATTTATAAAGACAGCGTCTATTTGAAAACGTGCTTCGCCAATTTCGGAGATGTGCACTCCGGGCGCTCAGTGCTCATGTAGTGGTTAAACAATTCGTTTTGGGTAAATCTAACGGGCAGTCTTTGGTCTCATGAATCTATTATTTGTTCCAGGTCATATCCTTTTGGCTGAGCACAAAGTTATGTTTCATAACTTTATATATTTATATAAAACAAATTATATATTTATAACTTTATTAAAATGAAAATGAAAAGAGGCAATGCTGTTTGATATAATATTTTGTTTCATTGTAATGTATGTACGTTCCCTGAACTACATTTCTGCGGCTATTAATAGCCTGCTTAAATGAAAACGAAAAGAGGCAGTGGTGTTTGATGTCATATTTCGTCTTACTGTAAATACAGTGAGGGAAATTGCAGTAGCCAAGGCGAGCAGACTGACGTTATCAAGTACGCTGCAGTTCCATTTGCAGAATTACCAGACTTGCGTCGTCCTGTCCCCGGGAGTTCACACTTCCGAGTCGAACTTGCGAAGTCCGAATTACCGAGGATTCAAGACCGAAATCTGTGTACTTTGTATTGAGAAACGGCCCTGGACTGGGAGGAGCAGTCGCGTGCAGTTCAGTGTCACCAGACTAACTTATTTGCCTAATTTTCATGGTACATTAGGCCGCAATAGAACCGCAGACAGCAACAGGGCTGAAGGAAAAAAGTTCCAGGTAATTTCGGTGGAAAAGCAGCTATATTAAACCACACATAAAGCACTTGATTTTAATTTTAAAGCTGCAGTCCACAAGTTTTGCCTCTTTGTCACCATCTTTGTTTGAAACCTGCAATTGCAGGAATTATTTTCACCAGTTACATGCACCAGCACGGCTCCAGCGCGGATGAATCTCATGTTTTGAGGTGTATGTGTGGTTGTCAGTCACTGCACTGGTGTAGATACTGTACTTCAGAATCACAGATTCTAGACTACATCTTGGAATATATGACCCAAATAAGAATTTTCACTGGATATTGTCATCTGAACGAGTAAGTAAGAAGTCTGCCACTTTTGTTTTGACCAACTGAGGAAAAAAGTATTACAATAAATTGCACTGCCAATGGTGATTAAATCTAACAATCAGTTAGCTCATATCACTTCAAACCGTGCAAATTATTATTATTGTTACACTTTGTTCTCAAATTGTTAATGTTAACAACATCAGCATTGCGTCAATATGTGTATATATATACACATATAGTCTAATCTCTAATTTCCATACCATTTGAATTTCATATAAAAAATATTTTAACCCTAAAAGCTAATTATTCTTTGTTAGATCTGGTTCTCTTTAAAATACAAAACTTGTGTAATCCCACATAGGGTGTAATCAGATGCACATTTAAAGGTGGGGTAAGCGATTTTTCAAAAACGCTTTAGAAACCTGATTCGGGCTGACTAGCAAAACAAACCTGTAGCCAATCAGCTGTAAAGGGCGTGTCTACTCTAAAGTCTGTCTAGTACACTGGACGCGACAAAGCGACCATTGAAAATCATTTGAAATTTGTGTCAATACGTCATAAATAGAACGCAGCAGCAGTTTTCTGTCAGGGATTTGTCGTGTCATGCTGCGCCACATCCAGTGTAGACCATAGAACTGTAATATAATCTAATTTCAGTCATATGTTTCATAAACACATAATCCTTTCTGGATTACAATCCACCATCAAATTTATACATTTAATTATTCCAGCTGCTGTGAGAAAAGGCTATAAACGATTCGCCACCTGCAGGATCATCACATGCGATAGCCTACTAGCCGGGACAACTTCTTTATGTTTACAGACGTGATGTAATGACGCAGCGGCATGCTCAAATTTCCCGCAAATTCCTACCAGTACCACTCAAATTAGAAAACATTATTATAAGCTTACCGTTGTAAATCGGGCTAAGGTAAACTATAATACAGTTTTCTTTAGTGTCCAAAACATTTCATTCAGTTCATACTTGCGTAATAAGTACTCTTTTTATTAAAAGCATATTTTAGTATGATAAATTGTAATCTAAGTAATAAAACAGCAATAAATAAATATTTGGAGAATTTCTTATTTTAGAAGTGTTTCTTTTTTTTTCATATAGCATCAAACTATAGCAATCAACCTGAACATACAGAGCTAAAGTGCTTCTTTTGGCATTTTGCTCTTCCATTGATTTTCTAATATCTTCCTCTGACAAGAGACCTGCTCAATCATGTAAACTGACATTCCTCACATGCCTGTCCTGTCTCTTATAGCACAGGTGGCCCAGAGAGGGTGATTATACACACATACACAGCCAAATAAACACTCACTAATGTACACAATTCTACACGGGCTTCAGGAGGCAATCGGGGGGTGTTTGTGTGTGTGCAGTGCAGGAATGCTGGGAGTGAGGCAAAGAAGCACGGAGTCACATCCTGGATGGTCTGAGTGTGCAGGGATGGGGGGTTGGGTGGATAATGTCATCAGAGCAGAAAGAAAGCGCAAGAGGAGGGGTACAAATGTTATAAAAACAGTAGTCTCCATCAGTACACTGGGACCCAGCTTCAAAAAGCAAACACAGCATCCAGTGACAGGAAATCACCCTTGCTCTCTTCAAAAGACCGAGACAGAGAGTGGATGCAAGACAGACAGAATACAACCTGCTAGTTTTCCATCAGTTTAAACAATATTGGCCCACCGATGTAGCTTACATTTCAGCTTGGAACAAAGCTAGATGTATTTTCAGCTTCTGCAGTAGAAACAGAAAGCAAGCTTACTCAAGTCAGCGTGTAGTGGTGAGCCTAAATGGTCTGGTAGCAAAGAAAATGTCACTTCCTCTATAAATACGACTCTTAGACAGTGCAATTGTATGTTTATGGTTTTGAGTCATTGGTTTTAAGATTATTAACACATCTCAGCTGTTTATACGCTGAGAAACAGAATTCTTACTGAGAGATTTACTATGTATATAAACGTTCATAAGCACTTGACCCACGTTAATAGAGTCCACATTTAATTGCACGGTTGGAGACAGCAAACGCACACACATACATTGCAGCTGGATTGTCAACACACACAGAAAGGGCTTTCAATGATGGGTCCACATCCTCTCTAGCACTGTCGGCTGTTATCTAACAAAGCCATAATGAGTAGTGACTTCATTGCAATATGAGAGACAGGCTTTTAGAGAATAGCAGCGTACAATCTCCATGGCCATCTCCAGTACACAAAAGCACACTAAATGACAGACATACTACATTATATAAGTTAAAGGAGTAGTTCATCGATTTCTGTCTGAATTACATACCCTCATGTCATTCCAAACCCATTTGACTTACATTCTTCTGTGGTACATAAAAGAGAGTTTTGAAGAGTGTGTAGGCAGCTGTTTCCCCAATGACTATGGGCTGCTAAAAAACAAAAAAACAAAACAAGAGAATGAATTTCAAAAAACGTGGCCACAAATGAAAAGATAATGGGAATGGATTCTTAAATTCTTTGTCACAATTCTTATTTACGCATTTCATGTGTGGGGTGCACAATAGCCTTTTGATGCCATAAAAATGTTTAAGAACATACCAAAGTTTTTATTCACTTAAAATCTTCCCCTCAGAGGTACTGTAGCTCTTAAATCTAAGGCACACTTATGCTTATTCAAAATTGGCTTGTATTTGGTTAAAGTACCCCTGTAGTCAGGGCCGGATTTACGCATAGGCATTCTAGGCACTTACCTATGCTCGCTCATCCAGGGGGGCTCAAACACGATGAAGAGATATATAATACTTTTTGTTATACTATGGGCTATCAACAATTAACAGTAAAAGAACCAAAACACCAGAAGACATAGAGCAAATAAATATAACAAAAAATATTTCCATGTTTTCCACCTTTTTTATGTACGGAAATCACGCTTTCTCCGGTTCTCTCTCACAGACGCGGAGACGTGGACAGAAACTTGTCATCAGCGCTGCCCCGCGAATTTATTAGTAAAATAGTTTCGCAGCTGAAAAGCTACATGACATTTCTCAGTAACGAGGTTCTTGAAGCAGTTCAACTTAAAGATTCGCTATTAGTAGACGCTGCTGGCTGAACACTGCTGAGAGACGCACAGACACACGTATTCAAATGCGCATAATCTCTCTCACTCTCTCTAATAACTGCATTAGCCTGCATATCAATGGCCCAAGCCTCTGTTATTAGTTTTAAAATGACGTTTTGGAATTTGCAATGGAAGGTTTATCTTGAAATAAATCATCTGAACAATAACTTGAAGTGTGGTTGTGACCAGGCCGTTAAAATTATTAGAGAAATAATGCACTCCCGAAGTGGTAATGTGGCCACGACGCAAATTAATACATTTGATTTTTATTCACTGAATGCAAGCACTTATTGCGTTAGAAAACACTGTAACGGTTTCCACTGATTACGAAATATTTTTGTTTGCTGCGGTGGTAATATTATATAGGCCTATTAATAAGGAAGAGGGGCCCAAACAATTGTTTTGCCTATGTCACGATAAGAGGTAAATCCAGCCCTGCCTGCAGTCACTGATTTTATCCCTTACAACTCAAAATCAATCAAATCAAAGAGCACTCCCCATAAAATCACTAAAAAGCTGTCACTAATCTTAGTTCACCACGTTCTCATTTTGTTATAATCAATAAAGCTCTACTCTGCACAATGAATCTCTTTTTTACATTGGTCTACACTTTGTTCTAATGGGAAGATTCGTGAACGTGCAGAACTCAGGATGGAGATCAGAACTCAGAGTGGATTCTGACTAACTTAAACACCTCAAATTGGCCATTGTATTAAAGAAATCAAAATTATTTGTTTGAGATTTGGCTACACTGCAAAAACACGATATAAATAGAAACCTATGACAAGTGGACATGAACAACCCTGCAGGTTGACGGGACTGCTTACATGCCTTTAACGATAGAAAGCAGGGGCTGTTTCAAACCGTGTTTTTGAGAACGTCTTTGGTACACTGCAGTTTTAAGGGGAAAATGCTCAACAATGGTGTTGACTGATGAAATTGCACATGGTTTGACTTAAAGTACATTAAAAACACCAGACAGACATATAAACCACAGGGAGTCTTTAAAAGACCTTTAAGAACTAATAGCACTGGCCATCATTGACATCAAATTTAGCAAAACGCGCCGTTTTTTTGTAATTAATTGTGAAACTTACTTGGAAATTCCAAGTGACAATTCAGTAACACTTTAGTATAGGGACCGATTCTCACTATTAACTAGCTGCTTATTAGCATGCCTATTATTAACATATTGGCTGTTTATTAGTGCTTACAATGCACATATTCTGCATGACCAGATTCTACATCCCTAATCCTACCCAATACCTAAACTTAACAAGTACCTTACTAAATATTAATTAGTATTAACTAAGCAGCAAATTAGGAGTTTATTGAGGCAAAAGTCGTAGTTAATGTTTTGTTAATAGCGAGAATTGAACCTTAAAATAATGTTTGACCAAAAATTCGACACAGATTTTTTTTTTCAGTGTACTTCTATGGTGCTTGTCTTTTTTTGGTGCTTACCAACATCTGTCCTTATTGACTTTCTTTGTGTGTAGCAATGCAAAAATTCTGCCTAACAATTCCATGTTTGTACCACAGAAAGTCATACTTATTTGTATTGCTTGAGCATCTGCAGCTTAGCTGCATCTGTGTTCTCTTTGTCTTTATTTACATGGCATTGGCTGAAAAAGGACCATAAATACAGGTGGTGAACAAAGCTGAGGTAAGAGGGGGCTGTATGATGAATTAGAGAGCTGAGAGGAGAGCCTAATCCTACCCAATACCTAAACTTAACAAGTACCTTACTAAATATTAATTAGTATTAACTAAGCAGCAAATTAGGAGTTTATTGAGGCAAAAGTCGTAGTTAATGTTTTGTTAATAGCGAGAATTGAACCTTAAAATAATGTTTGACCAAAAATTCGACACAGATTTTTTTTTTCAGTGTACTTCTATGGTGCTTGTCTTTTTTTGGTGCTTACCAACATCTGTCCTTAT